TGTGAAAATGCTCAATTAGCTCTAAAAGCCTAATTTATTAGTGGTGGTACTGATTTTTCTTTAAAATCTTAAGTGTAGTGTGGTTATGAAATGAGTCAGTTGCATTATTGAATCTTGTTCTGGCAAGGCTAGCCTACTTAACAGAGAAATCTGGCCTGGTCTGCTTCTCTTATGCAGTTACAGAAGCTACTGAAGTTAGGCCTGTCTATAGGCAGAAGTAGCTTAGTTTTGCAGTCACTGAGAATATGAGTAGATTGAAGCATTGAGCATATTTGAAGGAGAAAAACAGTAAGGCAGGCTGGAATGAGAAAAGTTCATTTAGCCACCTGTTGGTCATCCAGTTAGAAATACACCAACCAGTAATGAATTTCAGCGAGCTACTAGAATAGAAACATGTACATTAAAAATTCCTGTAACCTTGACATCCTGCTCACTTGGAGGATTCTTTATTTTCCTTTTGGAATTCCTGACTTTCCTCAGAAGATCTTAGGGAGGATGTATTTACTGGGATTTGATTTTTGATTCTTGCTTGTTCTGGAACTCAGGATTTTTATAGTTTGGGCAGAATGGTGTCAATATGGCACTCCAAGCAATTAAAAAATATATATAGTGTATCAACAGTGACATTGCATGGAAACCCTTTCAGCATTTCAATGTACTCTAATTGTATTTTTAAAAAGTCTTGTGGATTTTTTTATTTGTCCTGCCTGTGTTACAGCCAAGAGATCAAGAGCATCCAACAGCATTATGATTAAATAATTTTTTAAGTGGATTATCTTTTTTTCTTTAAGAGAATCTGCATTGTACTAAAATTAAGAGATTAAATTTACTAGACCTTTGAACAAAAAATAATTGCACTGCGAGTTGGTTGTCTTGCTTTTTCTAGGTTGTCTTTAGGCAGCAGTTTATTCTATATCTTTACAGCAAGAGAGCTTATTTAGCTTAATTGCTTTGTTCCTATACTTTGCACTTCGTTAAAAATAAGCACTATTGCACTATTTAAAAATAAGAAAATTATACCTCTGAAGTACTTCACTGTTCTATGTAATTTGTTAACAGTATTTCAGAACTTTAGTAGAAGAAGCCTGCATTTTGTGGTCTTTAGAAATAGTCAGATTTGCTATTGTAGTAGACTGTCAATTCCTCTAGGGCATAGGTACCTTATAGTGGTGTACACTTAGAAACAGGGAACTGAAACTTACAAAAATGATGCTATACATTGCTGAAATACAAGCTGACCTCTAATGCTTCTGTTATTTTAGGCATGAGTCTTTGTCATCAAATAGTACAAAAAGTAGCAAGACAGTGCTGAAAACTGAGGCTAAATTTATATGTCAGTATCCTAATTTTGGGGTATTCTTGTCTAAGTTCAGTATTTAGTAACTGTAAGGCCACCTGCCAAATTCACTTAATACCAAATGTTTATAAAAAGTAATTAGTTCCTAAAGTTAAGATGACTTCAAACATGTGTCTTGGAGACTGGTGTGTTTCTGTCATCCACATCTACTTAGGAATCCTTTTGATCTCTGGTAAATTATGTAAACTAACAACTAGGAGCAGTTTGATTCCTTCCTTTTGACACTATTTGTGGTCTGTTACTAATAATAATTTTTCCCGAGAGATCAGCATTTTGAGAGAGGCTCTGGAGACATTTGCTAGACATTCCCTTATTCTGACGAAAGCTTTTATTTTGAGAATCACAGATAATGCTTTCTTTCCCTTAAAGGTACGTGCAGTGATGTTATGTGGGTTGTCACAGATGGTGTACATACATGGAGCTCTTGCTCTGCTTTCTGTGTTGTGTGCTATTGGGTTGTTCTTTGTTTTGAAACAGGAGATCCTGAGAAGGAACTTAATCCCAAGAAGAAGATTTGGGAGCAAATCCAACCTGATCTTCATACCAATGACCAATGTGTTGCTACGTACAAAGGAGTTCCATTTGAAGTGAAAGGGAAAGGAGTCTGCAGGGCAGAGACCATGGCAAACAGCGGAATTAAATAAATAAATGGTTATTGGAAGCTTTTTCAGGTGTTGAATGGAAAGTAATGCAAGCACAATAAAAACCATGAATATATTACGCCTCTGAAATGCATGGCTGATACCTTTTTTGTTTGACTCCTCTTCCAGAGGTATAGAATGTGTTACACCTCCTCCATTTTCACAATTCAGCATTCTTAATGCCTTTGGGGTTAAGTGTTGTCAACCAACATTGATCGCTTAGTGCTCAAGACTTAATTGCCAAGGCTTGTTTATGGTAGAAGTACAGGCAAGCAAGGATGTTTTCTGGACAGCTAAAATTTTTAGAGTCTGTGGAGCAAGTGCATCTTAATAAGGAAACATTTCTGCCATGTTCCATGTGTGCTAGCTGCTCTTCAAGATGTGCAGGACTGGCAGTTGGTCAGTGAAGGCTATAATTGTCTTCATTCTTCTAACCACCTTTTAATAGTTTTCCCTTCCCTTGTTCCAGGCAGTTTCCAGATATGTTATAAGCCTCTGGAGCTTTTTTCTTGGCTGTGTTTTCTGCAGTCAATTGCAATGGGAAGATTAAACTATGGCCCTTTATGCTCTAAGATACACAAATTTACATACTTTTATATGCCACAGTTTAACTATTATAATATCAGTAAGATCAAAGCTGTCACTTTGCTAAAATAATTCTTTATCTAGTTCAGCTAGATATTTCCTCCAAAATGATAGATAGCACTAAGAATTAATGAATAGCAAAAAGAGTGCCAGAGCTAGTAAATACTGCCAAAAAAATGTTTCCAATACACAAACAGGTATAAAATTAATTGATTTTTTGTTTAATGTGTTTTTCTGCAATGATACTTTATAGAAACGATGCTTTGGTTATAACAGAAATAGCTTATTTGTTTTTTACAATTAGAATTATTTAATACTAGTGTAGTACAAGTAGCCATGGTTGCTATTGTAATAGCCTCACATTACTTCTTTTTTTTCCTGCCTTTTGATAATCTAAAAATAAGTGATCTAGATCAATTTACAATAAACTTTTAAAGTAACTATTTGGAGATACTTCAGATATTTTGGCATATAATATTTAATTAACTGGTTACTGTCTAACCCCTGAAATAATAAGCGCCTTTTTAACGACCGAAATAAAAACCTTAGCCACTCTGAATCTTGTAGGCTTTGAACTTTGTCCAGTAAACTGGGAGAGAAAACAAAATGGCAATGATAGAACATTAAAAGGAGCAGATGCAAGAGAAGAAATGAGCAGATTTCTTTTTTTGAATGAGTTTGGTATGTGCCTGTAAACTGTGTTAATTTTTCATGCATCTGGGAATGAGCGATAGTAATTACTTCTTTCAAATGTGCCAAGTGGTGTTAAGCACATGGGAGCTATTTTATCTGTCTTGTAAACTAGATATCCAATAATGTTGTATTAAGCAAAACTCTTAAAGTTCAAAATCTCAATTCTAACTAAACTTGATTTAAGGTAAAGAAATACTTTTACAGTAGATAAATCTTGGCTTTTAATACTGGAAGGCTCTTTATAAACTTCGGAATTCAGAGAAACCTCTGAAAGCTTGAAGAATTCAGTAGAGAGACTCCCTTGCAGTCTGAACTTGTGCATTTTTACTTTTTTTTTCCAGACCTGTGTTCTGTTCTGTATGAACCGCAATATACGTTCTGATGTAGCATGAAATCACATCTGTGACTGCATACATATAATTTATATGCTGCATATACATACTAGGACTGTGATTAGAGCACTGGATTGTTCAGATTTTGTGTTTGAAGCTAGAATTCTGGATGCAGAAGTATGAGGTACTCTATGAAAGGCAAGTAGTTTGGTAATCTAAAGAGATTTCCAACTGTGTGTTCAAAGGTATTTGGTATGGATCAACTGGAATTTTCCAGTTGATGTTACCTACCATAGGAAATAGATAAATGAGCACCTGAAAGCTATTTTAATTCCTTGCTGTGTTTAAGTCGAAGTACTTTATAATTATTTTGTCTTATAAAAGTTAATAGCTTTCTTAAGACAATAGCTCTTTCCTCTTTAATTATGGTCCTCTGGTTGTCTAGGAAAATGTATTTATGTTGTACTGAGCTCAAAAGTGACAGCAGGGTACTTGGTGCACTGTGCAAGTATGCTTCCTCACTGAATCCAGCCTCTTCTGCCTTGTCTGCATGAGTAAGTAGAACTGCAGTGAAATCCTTCCATGTGGGACCCAAAAGTTCCTGTAATGATAAGCAAATATTAAATAGGTTTTTTTTTTCTCTTGTTCCTTCTTTCTCACCTCATACTTATGCATCAACAGACGAGTTGTATGTTCTTTTCCTGGCAGGAATCCAGTTCATGCTATCTGAGTTGATGAAATTTCTGTTTTTTTTCACCTTCCCAAGACACTGACATCCACTTCCAGTGGAAATATGTGGTCATGTAGCTCTAGCTCTTATTTTCTTGCTACAGATGTTAATAGATCTTTTTCATTTTAAAAATATGTATGTTAATAAAAAAATAGTTATGTCACACATTAGTTTGTATCAATATTTGCACATCCATATTTGTACACTTTTTACAGCTCTTTGAAATTTTTCTTTAAAACCAAATCACCTTTTGTTGAAAAAAATAAATTATTAATTTCTATGTAGCACCAACTGCAATTCCAGCTGTATCCCATAAAACTGAATTATTATCAGCAATTCAGGAAAAACACAAATCAAATGCACTAAACTAAGTGATGGGCCAAAGAGTTTAACTACTGTGGTCCACCTGATGCAGGGGAATGAAGAAAACAAGCTGCTTTTTTGCCAACAGTTATTGAAAATTTTAATAAGAGATTGGGCTTTCATTTACAGATGTAAATGAAATTTCAACTTTACTGCAATCATGCTAAGTAATGTGACAAGAATCCTAGTTTGGTAATAAAGGTGACTTTGCAATGATCTTAGCTCTGTAACCTAAATACCAAGGTGTATTAAACTGTTTTAAAGGATATTTATCCCCTTCCAAGGAAAGCAGAGAATTAGGAAAATCCGGTGTATTAATAGTGATTTTGTTGAGACACTAGGGATGCAAAAAAATTAAATCTACAAAACTTTGGCACAAGCTAAGGAAGTGTGGGGTTATAAGTTTGGAGAGGATAGTTCATTGATTGCTGAGGATTCAAAATCAATGGTAATGTTCTGAAATTGGTATCTGCCACTCTCGATTCATTAGGTTATGCTACTGAATTTTTAAAAATCCAGAGACATTTAAATGCCAGTAATCTTCTACTGCTATGTCAACTTCATTGATATGCCATCTCTAAATTAGAGAGGATCATTGTGAAAGCGCTTGATTGCTAAAGACAGTAGTCTTCATGCTCATGCCTTCTTGGAATGACATACTGATATGCAACCATTACTCTTCCTATTCCCAGCACTCAGTTGGTGTCCTGCTCTATTTGTGCCTGAATGATACTGCAGTATCTGGTCTTTTCAGGGGAAAATAACTAAAAAGCAACCATTAGATAAGCTGACAGCCAGTTGTAATCATGAAACAGAAGTAAGTGTTGCTTTCTCATTATTTTTAAATATGCTTTTTTTCCTTTTAGTAAGGTTTTTAAAGAGAAAAGGCATGGTGGCATCTCTTAATCTTTTCAAGTCCACAGGGACAGTCCAAAACAGTCTTAAACAAAAACCATGATGATTTTTCATTGGCTTGGAGTAGAAATATTTTTAGTGAATACTGGTTTCTCTAATATACTTTGAAGTATAAAGAGATAGAGAACTGTATAAGGAAAAAGGGTAGCAGTGAAAAAAATATATGTAAACTGACAATAAGAGTGTGTTGAAATTCAAGCAAACTCTCAAGCTACCAGAAAAGTGAGACTAGCCTTCCCATAGAGAGTAATCAGGGCAGAAGAACAGATCAAACACATTTTGAAAGCTATTTTTCTATCAATATATTTATATGCTTATATTTTTGTCTACATATACATTATTTTGCTAATATCAGTTACAGCAGGTGATAAGACTTGATGGACCAGAAAGTCCCTTCCAGTCCTGAAGATTTTTAGAAAGTTCATCAGTGCAAGATAGATGCTAATTGTAATGTGCAGACTTTGGCAATAACTAATATCCTTTATTTCTTTGTAAATCATACCAACTTGGCTTGTCTGATCAGATAGCTAAACTGAGCAATGTCTGTTTGCTGGCAGCTTTTTTTTTTTTTCCCCCTTCAAAGATAAGAGAAATCTTCAGCTGAAAAGAAAGCCATTCCTTTTCAGTGTCTTTCCCCATGTATCTTGCCTACTTAAAAAAAAAACAAACAAGCAAACAAAAGAAACCAAACACAACAACTTTTCACTCAGGAGTTTCGATATATTTGCCTCAAGTCAGTTTTGCTAGAAATTTTCCTTATCCAGAGTAAATGTATGGTAGCTTTCTAGTTATTTTCTCTTGAACAGATACAGCAGTAGTGACAGTTAAGGACAGAGCTGAGCGTCCTTGTTCCAGGTCAATCACATTTTTCTGCATGATTTTTAAACCCATTGCTGTCTACTTTGGTCCTATACAGTAAACAGGAGAATGAGGTAAAATGATTTCTGCTTACTTTAAATAGCATTTATTTCTCTTCGACAAGCTAGATCTGTCATGATAAAGCATTAACTATAATTTCTGAGAGAAAAGCTTCCTTTGATAGGTAAATTTGGTTCCTAGATTTCTTTTTGCCAAGCCTATGTACAAAAGTGAGCAGTTCTTGCCTCTTTTCCCAGGTTTAGGTTGGTAAGTGTAGCTATGGTGTTGGAGTTGAAAATGGCATGTTTTAATTGCTGGACTGGGAACTGTTCTAGTTTTCAGCTGCACTTCTCTGTTTCACTTTTGTGGTCAATTCTTGCATAACTTATCACCTGAAAACAAAAAGGTATTTGTTTATCTGTTACCTGTATGAACTGAATGGTGTGATCACATTCATCTGGACACAGAGGCAAGTCAGCCCTCAGGACTAAGAGAGCCAGATGAAGGCCTTCCTCTCCGAAGTGGTGAGCCAGGGCTGATCTCACTGTGTCTCTCACCTGCTCTTTGCTCAGAACACTGTGAGGGTAGCTTGGAGTGTCAAGTACGCGAACACGGAGAGTGAACTCATGGCCTTTTCTTCGTATAATCCCCGAAATGCGGCAGCTGTGACCAAGGCTGCAGCATGTAGTCACAGACCTTGGGGAGCAATGACTCGCAAAGTCTGAGCTGCCCAACAAGCTGTTCCCAGCAGCACTTTTGCCAGTCTGAGTTCTTCCAAGGACAACAAGGTTGATGGTCATCTCATTGCTGTCTGCCATTATCTATGGTTTTATCCACGAATTTGTCACTAAGTGAAGAACGAATTACATGAGCTGTTTCAGGTAACTTAAAAAAACTCCAAACAAAACAAAAACTAGCCAAAATTGCAAAATTTAATATATCTTGAGTGTCCTTCCCTGCCTAAAATATTTTAAAGAGTATGTGGTGTAGATAGACTTTCAGTATGGCATGTATGATTCTGTCAGATCCATAGATGGATCTTTGCTGTCTCTTCCAGTCTGCTGCTTAGAAATAAAATGACCCCATGGAAGGCATCACAGGTACAAAAGCAGCCTAACAGACTGCAATCCTACCCTGGCAGAAGCTGAGAGCTAGGAAGGAATCAGCTGTAAGAAAAACTTTAGGAAGAAGTGAAGCAGATAAAACCAAGGGGAAACAACTGTGAAAAAACAGCATTGGCATACAGGGAGAGTAGTTTATGACAAAAAGGAGAATGAAGGGAGGAGGAAGGTAATGGTGACAAATGTGTTGCTGTTATTAAATGGCCATGTTTCAGGATGTAAATTTTTACTTTTTTTTAGGAAAAAAATTTGATAATCAGGAAGAAGGAGCTTTGAAAGGAGCACTTTTTCACAGCAGAGAACAGTCATCAGCTATTACTAAAGTTGAGATAGTAATCCAGCAGGGCTTTCTAAGACAGGTAAATGGAAGTATGTCTTAATGGAAAGAAAGAAGAGCTGAAGTAGCCAATGCTGCAGGTTCTAACCCCACATGAAATTGAGGTATACTGTACAAACCTTTAGACTATGTCACACTTAGTAGAAAAGAAAAGTGTAGACTGGCAGATGGAGAGGGGAGATGGGTAAGTATAATTTCCACTACTATAATATGTAATAATAAGCTTTCTCCCCCATCTAAATCCATGCAAAAATCAATCTTTTGAAATAACTTAACTACAAAGTCAAGCATGCAAATTATTAACATCTGAATTTTGTTACAGACTATACAGAATACTGTACATGGTGATCTTCCTTACTGAATTTGCAGTGCAGTTTTAATGTTTTTTCAGTGATCAATTTTCTTTTTTTTTAATAATACCTTTTTAAAAATGTACCTTATGAAATCATTGTTGTCAGTTATTAATCAGTCTAGGTATGTGTTATATATTTTTCCCATAGCATTATAATATCACATGGTGAATGTGCATTTGTGCATTCATTTTTTAAATCCTCATGAGGAATTCGGGTTGTTTGGTTTGGATTTTTTGTCATTTAAGCCGTCTGCCTTTAAATACTTAATTTTGCTTTATGCCACTTACCTTATTTTGCCTTAAGTTCCTCTTTCATTCAGACTTCATTCATAAACTATGTGCAGTGTAAAATGAAGTTCATATGTGAACTTTGAAACTAACAACAGCAATGTACCATGCTGAGACTGTTACGTACACATTAATCTGGTTAATCTATTACTGATAGGTCCTCATTCAGTTGAGTATGTTTGGTCAGTAATTGGCACTGTTGAATTTTTGCGACTTAGCTGAAGGTACAGTTTTTGCAGTTGCTTAAGTGTTTATATGAAGTTGATATTTTTGAAAGTTACATGAATTCTACCAGCAATTGAATGTGAGAATGACAATGGAGGTGCTGGCATGACTTTGTGTGGCATGTTTGCTGAAAGTGTGCCCATACGTGCCTGTGAAGAGCACATGCACTTCCCTTTATTATTGCAATGAATTAATAATTGCAATATTTTCAAAGCACAATGTAAACACTATGCTGATTACCCAACAAAAATGAATAAAAATAATTTAAATATGGGTTAAAATACATTATTTGTGAATTAGGAAGAACTGAATGCTTGCATTACTGCCAGTCACATACATTAGCTGTTGGCTTGATACATTTCTCTTGAAAGCATCATTCTTTGCCATGTTATAGTAGTATTAAAAACAGAGATAAAAAAAAAACTGTCCAGAAAAGACCTATCACTTGCTTTTTAGGCAATATCCCACAAGTGGGAAAGTAACTGATTTGAACTCCTGTGTCTGAGTGGGAAATAAATACAAATGTGTGGTTTAATGACTGGGTACTAGTAATAGAATGGAAAAGTTAAGTGAGCCCTTCTTTCCCCTTCACAAGGAAGGGTTTAGATAAGCCACCTCTCCAGCTAAATCCCAGGTGGGTGGAGGCATGTGTTTACTCCAAAGGTATTAAGATACATGTCATTACAGTGAGACCAAGAATCTGGTATGTAGGCTAACTGTCATGGGAGGAAAATAGGAAGGTGCTTTCTAGAGCCCAGTCTTGTTGGGGACATTGTCATCTTAAGTGTAGCTCTGAGGCAGCCTGTAAGTCTTGGTTTACCACAGTACTAGGGCTGTTCCTGCCTTCCACAGCAGTGGAGTGAAACTTCAGGTCCTCTAGAAACCTGCTGTCTCCTGCTGTGGTGCCACAAACAGACAGTGCTTTGACAGAAGGTCGGAGCTAATGGTGCCTTCACAGCCTCTTCATGTAAATACATGTCATTCATTGTTAACGGGTTCATAGTTTGTGTTACTTGGCTGTGTAGTAATTTTTTTGCTGTATGGTTTTAAGAGCACGTAGACAAGTTAGATGCTTACAGACTCCCTGCTCTAGAGTCCACCTGTTCTCGGGAGAAGTGAGACAAATCTTTTCCTGCATTGCATGTATAGCTGAGGCAACTACTGATTTTTTCCCCTGTGAAAGTTGTTGTGGCTCAATACTGCACACAGACTTTGTGTCTCAAGGCTTATATATATATAAGTGTATTACAAAGTTCCTTCATTTGCTGGAGGGTACAGACTGGATTAGGGTGACTCGCTTGCAAAGCAAAAGAGAGGTCAGTCTCATAAAACTATGGATATTGTGAAGATCAAATCCAGATCCTTCCTGTTTAATTTCCTTAACAGAAATCTTGACCTTAGTTAAATTGTCACAGGGTAGCTGTTCCTATGCACAGTAATGCCTCTCATGACATTGGAGGCAGTATATGTCCTAGCAGTCACATCCAACTGAGCCAGTAGCCTGTCAAGGAGATAATTTAAACTGTGCATGGACAAGGATTTAGACTACCAAGAAAGCTAGAATCCCAGAAGCCAGAGAAGTGGTGTATGCAAAATACAGCTTGCCCTGCTGGCTTTGGAACTGGGCTTATGCTGGCAAGGTGGCTGTAAAATTAAGAATAGTGTGAATGAAGCACTGCTGAAATGGTACGTAACATTTGGCTAAGCTAACTTACCCACGAAGAGAAAAAGGCATTTATTTCCAGTAATATTGTGAATGTAATACAGTCCATGTTGGGATACATCCGGGAGGTCTTACAACAGCACAGGCAGAGGGTTTTAAGAAGTTGTCTTCCTGCGAGGATATGACAGGGAAAAAAATCAAACTGATGAATGACACTCGCTTAGACTCCTCAAAATACATGGAAAGAGTCCTCCCCAAGGTGGCAGTAGCAGCCTGCTCCACAGGTACTGGAAAACAGCTGAAGTCTCCTTGCTCTGGAGTCCTATGCTGAAACGAAATACCAGCTCAGAAATTAACTAAAGCATTGGAAAATATACAATGACAGGGGTCTTCAAGCATCTTCTGAAATACGAAATATAAGAAGAATTTTTCTCCCTTTTGTCACTAGAAACATTTTTTACTTTATGTGTAAAATGCAGACAGCATAGCACTGTAATGAATTTGAACAGCAGTAATAGGAAGGTAACAGTTAAGAAACTGGAAGTGTTATTGACTCTCCTTTATATGACACTTTTCAAATCAAGACCTTTTTTTTCACTAGCTTTTGAGTTGGTGACATTTGTTACGGGGCTTTGAATCTGAGATCTGAAAATTTATTGTCAGAGTATGAATTTGCAAAGAACAAGTACAAAGTACAACTAAATTGCCTTGGATCCTTATTAGCACTGCTCACTGCTTGTGGGTAAGCCATGTATTTTGTTTTCTTCATTTTATATAACTGTATTTTTGAAATGGCAGAAAACCAAATCTGAGCCTATTGGCAGACAGGAAGTCTTCCTGTAACTAAACAAGGTAGCCTTGTACTGCTCCCACAGAAACACCAGGCAAGTCTAGTGATGAATTGTCAAGAATATAAGGAAGACCTTTAATCCAATTGAAAAGAAGCGGCATTATGTATCTGTCTTCTTCAATTGTCTTTGAAAGAACAAGGCCAAAATTATTAGCTAGTAACTGCTGGATTTGTAAACATCTACAGAATTAACTGAAGTTGCAATGTGTCTTAGTCACATTACTGTGGCAGCTGCTGTTCTGTTGTAGTCTTTGTGCTCATCCAGTTGGTTTGCACACACCCTAAGCAAACTCTTCATGATGTGTGTTAGGGTATAGCACGCAGGCTAGGTCTTGTAAACTGAAATAAGATAGTTTCTGTTGAGGCACATGGCATCTTACCATGTGTCAGCTTTCAGTTCCCACGCCTTCCTGTCCCTTGCAGCTTCTTCCCTGATGTGGGCTCTCATTTTAGCCCAAGATGATGCCATAATAAGTAATTTAAGATGTGCTTTGATGAATTTCTCTTATTTAGAGAAAATGCAGTGGAGGCCATTTTATGAATTGCCACACATGGATGTGGGCCTTCCCAAACAACATGAGAAATCCTGGAAGGTATGCAGTCCATGGAGTCAGTGTGGCTTTTGTTCTGTTAGAAGTGTAATTACTATGAGACACCAGGCATGTTACTGCTGAGAGAGACAGGGCAGATCTAATGATGCTCCACTCCTTTTGGACTGTAGTCACCATAAAAGCTTCTGCACTGATCCTAAAGGAACACACATTTAAAATAAACAGATGTTTCCTTAAAATAGTTTATAATTTTTTTGCTTTGCTTAATTCAATCCTTAGTACTTTTTAACAAAAGGAATAAATTATCAGCAATCTACAAGATCATGTTTCTCTTTGCAGTATAGATGGCTCTGTAGGTTATGTGCTACTACATTGGCATTGCTAAGGGGAAAGGAGATGGGGTATAGCTGCGGACTAATGCTACAGTTGCACCAGCTTTCACAC